GACTTCACGGTATTCTTAGCAGAGAGATGATCTAATCTAGTAAATTACTCAATTTTCACTCAGCATCTCTTCAGGGCACTGAGTCGATGGCCACTCACTGACAATTTACTTTGTAACTCTTCTCAAACCATGTTTGCATAAGAATGCTAAATTCACTAAGGACAAGGAGAGTGTCTTCTACTTTTCAAAACTTGCAGAGTCCCTGGTGTAGGACTCTACATTTGGGGCAGACGGTGGGACTATAACCAGAAGTTACTAAATCTTGAACTTGAGTGAACTTCAGTGCCTCTCGCAAGAATCTATTCCTATGCTCCATAACGGACTTTATGTTTGTAATTTTGCATTTTTAAAAAGAGTCCCCCAAACTGTATAAATTTTAGACATCACATCCATTACACACCGAATCTACCTGGTGTGTAAATCTAAATATTTCAGACTGTTTGTCGGGGTAGGGTTTATATTTCAACTATGTTTAAATAGCAAAAGCCCAGGATATAGGCTCCCTTCATTTATTCAGGCTGATATAACAAAGTCCCCTAGACTGGGTGGCTTATAAACAACAGAAATTTAGTTCTCACACTTCTGGAGGTTGGAAGGCAAAGAATGAAGCACTGGCAGATTTGGTATCTGGTGAGGTCTCACTTACCGTCACAGCTGGTGACTTCTGGCTGGGTCCTCACATGTAGAATGAGTTCCTTTGAGCCTGTTTTATCAGGGCACTAATCTCACTCATGAGTGCAGAGCTTCCCGTATCTTCCCAAAGACCTCACCTCCAAATGCTATTCAATTGAGGGTTAAGTTTCAGCACATGAATCTGGAGAAACACAAACCTTCAGTGCATTGCACAGGCTTCTGCTCCAGATCTGTTTCCTATGCCTTCCCCACAACCTCACCAAGTAGTCAACGAATGGAATGAGAAGAGGAGCTTCGGTTACCTAAACAGTTTAACGCTGAAAACTGCCTATAGCAACAGACTGTCCGTTAGTAAGCAGGTGGGAAATATGGTCCAACTGAGCAGAGACAGTGAAGAATGGGGAGAGAGAAGGGATGCCCACCAGGTCCCGAGTTCAGCCCCGTGAGTGAGCCTAGCACGATGGTGAAGAAAGTGGGCTCTGGTGTGAAACAGCCTTACTCCTTACCAAGTCTGGAACCCTGTGCCTTGTTACTGAAGTCTCAGTTTCCTTATTTTAAAAAATAAGAATGAGAATGCTTACCTCTTGGGGTTTTTACAAAGGTAAAATGAGATAATATGTGTAAAATGCTCAGTGTGGTATCTGGCACATTATAATTGGTCTATAAACAAGAGCATCTGCAATCATCACTAAACTAGATAAGACAAAAATAAGATCATCTCAGAGAAATGCGACATACCATGTGATATTTTACTTAGCACCTTATATTATATTACTCCTTTGCCCCCAACCCTTCTCATGTCTTTTATCAGTACAGCATAGTTATTATAACCTCATGACTATCTTATAAATAAAATAATATGCCATAGAATTAAGAAAAGAAACAAAAAACATCTTGCCCATGTTGACACAAAAAAACACAAATTATAAAATCAGAATAATAAATTATATTCCTAGGGAGCCCAAATAGTTCACGGTGCCAATAAAACTTATTTCAGCTTCTATTCGTTGAGCACTTATTACATACAAGAACTTTGCTAGACACTATGGGACAGTCAAAGATAAAAGAGATTCCCTACTCTCAAAGACTTTATAATACACTAGAAAAGATTTCCCAGAATGAGTTCTTTCCGTGGAATACTAGTTAAGAGATGTTACATTAAATAGGTATTTCGTGAACAAATTAAATTTCAGAAGCTTCAGATTAAACACAAGTATACAGGTTTTTTCACTATCCAGCCTCTCATAACCGTTGCCGTGCTGACATGCCTTGCAAAGCTCTAAGAAGAGAAAAACGACTACAGCACTTTGCAAATTTGTTTAAATTTCTTTTGTTGTTTTTGTTTGTTTGTTTTTTTGAGATGGAGTCTCGCTCTGTCGCCAGGCTGGAGTGCAGTGGCACGATCTCTGCTCACTGCAACCTCCGTTTCCTGGGTTTAAGTGATTCTCCTGCCTCAGCCTCCCGAGTAGCTGGGATTACAGGCACGTGACACCACCCCCAGTTAATTTTTATATTTTTAGGAGAGACTGGGTTTCACCATGTCAGCCAGGATGGTCCCGATCTCTTGGCTTCATGATCCACCCGCCTCGGCCTCCCAAAGTGCTGGGATTACAGGCGTGAGCCACATCGCCCGGACTTGTTTAAGTTTTGAACTCTACTAGCATCATATCTCATAGGTCTAGGGTTCCAGGAAAACACTTCGGGAAACAATGGAGTACATAACTAAAATAAATACACCAATGACTCTAGGACAGATTGAGTGAAGTTCGGTATGTAATAAGAGCTGAGTAGAAACAGCAAATATCCTAGTTAGTAAGATTCTGGAAAGGTGTCGGGGGAGACATGGTTTGAGATGGGCCTTAACGGATGGATCAAATGTTGTGCTATTGATACCCAGGCATGAGAATGCCTTGTAGCAAGGCTAACACAGACTGGGAGAGGCACAAGGCCAAGAGTGTGGAACAGTGGGTTGGCTCCATCAGACTAACTCAAAATACTTGCAGTCAATATGGGGGAGATAAAGTCTGAGAGAGAGAGTGAGCCATGGTGTGTAACAGCATGAAACCCACAGCAGAGTCGTTGGAAGTAACTGGGAGAGCTGATCAGAACTTTAGGAAGAAAATTCTGACAAAATGGAAAGACTAGATTGGACTGGGGAAAGTTAAGAAGTGAAGAAACCAAGCAAAGATTATGTTAACCTCAGCAAGAAGTCATCTGTCCTGAACCAAAGTGGTGACAGCTACATAATGCGGGCCAAAACATTTCAGAGAGAAATATTTTAGAGATAAAATCTTCAGTGATTTGAAATCTTCTGTACGTTTTATCGTATTGATGACATCTTCTTACAGTTGTAAGTGGTCAAGTTGTACTTACCAAGTTTCGGAGGTTGAACCCAACATATGTTATTCTCTGCCAGCGTGATGTCAACTAAGGGAATCTGATCAAGTTACCCATGGATAGGTATTTAAATTCTTACAATAGAAGACTTCACTGAAAGAGCCAGTGACACTGTCTGATAGATGATGACAGACTCCTCTGATCCCCACAAGGTGATTTATAGGTAAAATTGACCAGAAGGTAGAGCTGAAATTCAATACGCATTTCTCTTTCTTAACACCTTAGGTTGTTCGGACCTGTGAGGAGCACCGAAACATCGGTCACTTAGAATCCAAGGTTCTGCAACACTGAAACCATATTTAAAACTGCTCCCCACACCGTACACAAACAGGCCGTTAGAACAATGCAAGCCCCGGGTCTCTGCTCCCTTGCAGACTAATTGGACAACGTACAGCATGTGGTGTGTGAGTGCAATTGTTCAGAGGGGCAGCAGGCTCTCTCAGGTCTCCTGACCCGGACTGCACAGCCCAGAGGTTGTCACCCACTGCTGCCTCTGCTGAGTACGCGTGAACAGAGAGGCCTCGTACTTCATCCACCAGATGGAAACCTTGCTGCCCCATACTGTGGGTGGCAGATGTTTTCCTGCTTAATTGTTGAAGATTAAGATTTGCAAACCAAAAAGTAAAAATACTTCCCCCAGGCAATTATGGCCAATCAAATCACAGACTTTGGGAAGAAAGATGATGACTACTACAGCAATTCCTCACTTAACTTTGTCGATAAGTTCTCAGAAACTACAACTTTAGGCAAAACACCATCTAACAAAACCAATTTTACTGTAGGCCAATTGATATAAACAAGAGCAAAGTTCCTACGGCATATTTCTAGTCACAAAAACGTCACCGAACTTCTAAATAAAGACCCAAAACACTTCTAATAGTAAACATTGAAATACATGTGATCTATGCATTTCAGAAAGATCAGTACAAACAAGTAAGATACGTATTTACCCACCTTTTGGTGAATCAGTGAGTGTCGGCAGTCATAGTGGTGGTGAGTTAAATCCAGGAATAAATAAATGTTTGCAAACGGGAAATTGTCAGAGAACCTCCTACCATCATGCAGTTCAAAAATGATCAGAAACATGGTGGGCTCACTGAGCACTTTTATACGGCATCGTTTTATTGTCATGTATTTGTATTACTATCATAGACTTTATAAATTTTTATTGTATAATCATCGTATTCATTCATTCGTTCATTCATTCATTCATTTCCCAACCCACCTAGTCCAGTCCATCCAGTCCAAGGCACCAGGTGGGAGCCAGCCCCAGACAGACTGTTGTCCCATGGCAGGGTGTGCACTCACACACACACATGCTGAGACCACGTAGACACACCAGTGAGGCTATCAGGCACATCTCTGGGATTTGAGAGGAAGTCAAAGTACCCAGAGAAAACCCTTGCAGACATGGGGAGAACGTGCCAACTCCACACAGGATGGATTTCAACACTATAACAAAATGATATTGAAAGAACCGGTGTTATTCTAGGATGTGCTGTACATCCTCCCTCTCCTTGTAAGTAAATTGCACTCCCCTGAATTCATTTGGCTACATGTGGATTTGAGTTTCCTTCAGTGTCCATCTTCTTTCCATGTGTCTATTCAAGGAGCTGTGGTGTCAGCCAGAACAGGGAGACTAGGCACTTCTATCCTCAGGAAACTCATTTATTCAAATGTGTGTGTGTGTGTGTGTGTGTATATATATATATATAGCAGCTGGGTGTGATGGCTCACGCCTATAATCCCAGCACTTTGGGAGGCCAAGGCAGGTGGATCACTTGAGGTCAGGATTTCAAGACCATCCTGGCCAACATGGTGAGACTCTGTCTCTACTAAAAATACAAAAATTACCTGGGCGTGATGGTGTGCACCTGTAGTCCCAGCTACTCGGGAGTCTGAGGCAGGCGAATTGCTTGAACCTGGGAGGCGGAGGGGCGTTGCAGTGAGCTGAGATCACACCACTGCACTCTAGCCTGGGTGACAGAGCAAGACTCCGTCTCAAAAAATAAAAAACTAAATAAATACAAAATAATAAAAATTATCGTTTTAATGTCCCAATGCAGAGCACTATGCTAGATGCAATGAGAGCTAAAAGTGGAGAGGCAAGTGCTAGAAAGATCCCTTCTAAATGAGAGAAACGAAGGAAGTGATCTTTGAGCTGTGCTTAAAGACTAGGAAGAATTTTAATAGGCAAAGATGAAAAGAGAAGGAGAGAAATAACAGAGGAAAATAGTAGGCAAGCAATTTAAAGTCGTATTTGGGGTTCTGTATAGTAAGCCAGACTGAAGGCTTCGTGTGAGTAATTATACACAGTTAATGCCTGAATTATGTGAATAGATGGATCTTGGATTATTTGCGTGACTGATAAAACAGCAATAAACCTATTTATATTTTACGGAAAATTTGTACCATTTAAAAGGGCTTCAAAGAATTAACTTGGTTGCAGAACAATGCACAAAATCAAATTAGAATTTAAAACACAATCACATATACACACAAACTGTAATTGTCCTATAAAAGGAAAGAATTGATTTATCAGCAATTGTTCCTAATTAGACAAGTCCACTTCGCTGTCTGGCTACCCAGCTGGCAAACATAATAATCTTTACACATGTACACTTTGCAAAAATGAACTACAGTTCATTTTAAATCTCCCAGTTTGTTTTGGAAGCATATGCACACACCCTTCTGGATATAATGAGATACATTCTGAATGATAAATATCAGTTGATTAATGTATGCAGAGCTTCAGTTTAATAACTGTTTCACAAAAAATTATTTGACTATTGTTAAATCTTAATAAATGTTTTAAATAATAAATTGGCCTGTATTAACGGCTAGCTATTAGCTCTTCTACTTGTTATTATCTATTAACGTAACTCTTTCGATTTAATAAGGTGTTTATCATTGTTTATTTTCGCAGTTGTTGCTTAGAACTAGTAATGCATTTTCCTTCCTACAGATTCTCAGAGCTCTTTTCTAATATTAACCATGACTTCTCTCTTTTTCTAAACCTCTGATGACCTCCACCCAAACACAGCTGCACAATTGGGCTTCTTCAAGGAATACTTACTCAAATAAAGAATCTGCTTGCAGAACTCTGCCCAGACTGTCTTTCTAGGCCATGGCTTTGACTTGGTTTCTATTTCAATGACGCCTCGGAAAAGGGCTGCAACCAGTGACTCCCTGGGAGTGATGGGCACCTGGCAGAGGGACTTCTTGCATGGACTAACCATAGATGTGAATTCCTCTCCCCAGTCCTGTTATAGTAACCAGGAGATTGAAGGCTGCACCTAATGAGAAAGCATCTGAGGCATCTGGGCACAGAAGTGGTCAACAGCATACGTGTCCCACGGTGCCAGGCTGCAGCCCCCTGCTGGCACACCTTTCCTACCTGAACCCTCAGAACAGGTCCTGGCTCCTTTAAGAGCCTCCAGTGAGAATTCAATAATTGTCTCCGTGGAAAGTATGAGTTCCCCCCAGTGCAGCGTGATAAATCATGGATAATAATAGCTCTTTCCAAAATAATCCTTAGGCAGAAGCAAAATCCAACTGAGAAGGTTGTGCAGAGTCAAAACGAGGGACCTAGATCTGTCGTTTATTTAGCTCTATAAATACATTGAGTGTTTCCTTTGTCACCGCTGTTGACATAATGTATTATTATTACTATTCAGCTATTATTCCGTTAATGCCTATATTTTTGTCTCTCTGTTTCCTGCTAGGCCTTCATTCAATGGGTTGACCGTCCACTTTTAACCCTCAGTCTTCTACTGAGCAGATTTCAGTTCTAAGCCTCTCCACTTTTACCACCAAGAGTCAGTACCATACTTTCGGGAGATTTCTAGAAACAACATCCTAGTGTGAGTGGAACAGGTCCAAGATTCTAAATTTTGCTGATTTTCTCTCCATAGTGGCAGGAATATCTAGAGATAGATTTCTTTTTCCCCAGGCATAATCCCCATAATATTTGTTCTGTCATTTTCACAGTGTAAGAACAAATGGAACTTTTTATGTCTATACATGGGGACCCTCAGAATGACTCCCAACGCTGTTCGAAGTGGAACTTGTCATACTGAATTGCCTGGGACTGGTTATAGTGTGATTCAGTTGGCAGAGATAGGACAGTTTTTCCAAAAGAGGAAGTAGACAGTGATTCATTATCCTGTTCACATTCATGATCCTTGGTGGATGCCTTAGCACTTGCTGGAAGACCTGGCAGCCCATCCCGGGCCCCTGCGTCCTCTACATTGCTGCACATAAAATCCCACCTATTATCTCAAGTATAGCTACCCATTGCTGAGTAGGTAAAGTCCCAGCATTGAGTACTTAAAGCTTTAAACCTAGGTTTCCAAGACCCCAGGTTATTACCTCACCCACAAGTTCATGCCTTTCTTCTTTTCGATTTATGGAGAAAGCCCAAATCATAATTCTATTTTAAAAGATCATAAGGCAGATTGTTTCATTTTCCTTCTTTAGAGTGTAATTATTCCTAATTCCACAATTACTTTGCAAAGTGACAGTGCAATGATTAAGAGCACTCTCTTTTAGCAAATTTTTCTTATCACCAAACTCCATAAAAATTTAACTTCCTCCAAAAATTATAATGTTGTTGGGTAGTTTTTATTAGACAATTTTGGGACTTGAAAATTCTTTTTGACTGGTTTTCCTATACTCCAGCACATGTATAATTATAACTAATTGCTTCTCTGCACATTCCCCTTTTCTGTGGAAGGAAAGAAATAGTTTTGGGAAAAATAAGAACAGTGGGAAAAGCAGGGAGGGGCCCTTTTTTTGTTGATTGTACGGGGCTGACTGCATGTCTAGTGTACAGTCAGCATTTCAATCAGCACATCTTTTCAACTTGTGGCTCTGAACAGCTGGAATGTGCTATGAAACATAGGCCAAGATAAAAGGCCATAGTATTGTATAGCTTCAAAACCAGCAATCAATCAATCACATGTGCGCGTGCGCACACGTACACACACTGGGAGGTGGAATTGAACTATCTCAGGGGCTGTCATTATGCTGAATGATATGTGCTTTGAAAGCATGTGAGTTGGCAAACCTATGCTCTCAACCTTCTTCAAATGCCAAGTCAGGTCTGAAATCTAAGTCAGAAAACATCTGGAAAAACGAGTAGCCTGATGGATCAATCAGGTATGTGTCTCCCCGTGACCCCATCATTGATCGTACACACTCACGGTTTGGAAAATCAAGCTGCGAGGTTTCAGTGCCTCACCCAAATGTAAGCCTGTGTTTGAACATCAGAGATAAGGTTCAGGCCTCAAGACATATGTCCAGAGAGTCCATGGCTGTCAGAGGACTAGACTTGCCTGGCCATTAGCTCTCTCCCATTACCACAGTTGAATCAGCCTCTGTTTTGGGGGCAGTTGTTGCAGGTTAAGAACAGAGCTATCCCTGCTTAGCCAATTATAGTGGAAGGCTTACAGAAAAACATACAGCCCGGCATTTGATGGAGACCAGAGAGATGAATAATTCCTTGTACTTGGGTCTCTTAATTATCTGAGATACAATGAACTCTGGTTAACCTTCTCTTCATTATTTCTGACCCCTACTTTCCAACTTTGGACAATAGAATTGGGAACCAAAAACTGAAGGAAGGGCCCGGAGCACATTCTCACAGAAATTCCAGGAGAAAGTGCCGGGAGTTTGTGAAACTTCCACTTTAGCAAGCCTGAGAGGTGGGAATAAGCCTCCCATCATGCGTGTGTGTGTGTATGTGTGTGTGCGTGTGCGTGTGTTAACTGTGCTGAGTTCTTCCTAGACATTAGCTCATGCAGCCTCCCAGTCCCTGGTGAGGCAGGTAAAAAGCTCCGATGCCTATTTCACATGCATCGAATGTCAACAACGGAAGTGTATCCATGCAAACCTCAGAGAAAGTCACAGAACTGAAGGAATCGTTTTCCTTGATACTCTAAGATCTCACTGGCAAATATGGATTAAATTCCAACTGTGTGCATCATTGTTTTGAGTGAAAATGACATACTGGGAAAATGGGAGATACAGTTTTTCTTCTTGAGGATCTAACACTCTTAGGTGGGGAAATAAAGCAATATACATATGTAAAACAATTAGAGAAGAAAATAGGGCAACATAACCCACTGCCACACCTCAATAGAAGGCTGTTGTGATCCTTTTTTGTTAATGCCACAAACACATTTGACAGGTACGGGCTTCTTTAAAGGACTGCTGTCATGACTTCTATGACAGCAAGACTTCCACGGTTTTCTTTTTGAGACTGTGGAACTACTCTCCACACCTGATCTCTGTTGGAGTCCTCCAGCCCAAATACCACAAGGACAAACATATGTCCTAGAAATGGTTGGTGACCCCACAGAGACGCAGTTGGCACCCTGAGATGTTCCTGAGTGGGCAGCTGATGGCCTCCAGTTGGGAGGGCGCATTTCTTCCCGTGAACTTGCTTGCCTCGGTTCTTCCATTAATGAGTCCATGGGTCAAACGAGGGGCGAAGATGAAGCGCGACTCCCCGCCGCTCTCGGCCTCCCGCCTTAGGGTTGCGGAGGGGAGCCCACAGGGCCCAGCTGGGCGGGAAGAGGCGTTCCCCCCTGTCTCTCTGTCAAAAAATAAAATAATAATAATAATAATGTCGATGATGAAAAATCCATTATGGCTTGAGGGTGAAAATAACATTTTCATTCTAACATCCATGTGAGGCATCAAGGCATCTTCTGATAGAAAATGATGAACTTGCACATCAGGAAGTGCAAAGACTATTTAATCAAAGCCTTAAAGAAGATCAAACCTCATCATAAGATGTTAAATATATATATACTGAAAGCAGATAAGAAGAGTTTTGGACTGTGTGACCTGAATCTGAAAATCGGAAAAGAGCCTTTTAGGTTCTTCCACTACAAGGAAAATATGTCATTTTTTTTTTCTCGCTCAGCAATCCAATTTACTCACTGCAGTGGGTACAAGATAGGACTGAAGCAGTATGGCCAGTCGGATAGCCTGGAGAACCAGAGTGCTCTCTTATGTCCCTTGTTCACCACACACTTTGTTATTGACTGTCCCTGTTTTCTTATTTTGATTCATGTTATACGTGACTTTTAAATGAGAAAGAGACAATGGGGAAATCCCACAATATGTGAATGAATAGGTGTCATGGAGAGAATAAACAAGGTCTAAGAAGGATATGGGGATCCCTCGTTCTGGCTCCTCAAGTGGTTCCAGGGTTCAAGTCTTTGCTCTTAAGACTGGGCCAGGTTCAGTTTCACAGAAGGTAGCTAGAGGGATGCAGGAGCACATAGAAAGCCTGTAGAGAAATCAGGGGGACAACAACACAATGAGGGCAAGGACAAGGACTCAGGGTGGACCACGGTTTTAATGCCAGTGATGTTTGCATGTGTTACTATCATTAATATGGTAGCGTGATGGCAGGTCATCAATACCATTGCTGGATACTGTGGGTATTGTACAGTGGGGAAATATTAATACTAATAGCTATCATTGAGCATTTACTATACACCAAGGATGTGCTATACACTTTTGTAGGTTATATATAATTCTCTCAACAACCCCTCAAAATAGGCATTGTTTAAACCCATTTTGCCCGAAGTGTCAGAAAAGTGAAGTAACTTGACTGAAGTCATATAGTTAGAAAGAGCAAGACCTGGAATTCACCTCAAATAAGCATAATTACAGAGGTTTTATTCTTCTTCTTTCTTTCTTTCTTTTTTTTTTTTTTTTTCTTTTTGAGACGGAGTCTAGCTCTGTCGCCCAAGTTGGAGTGCAGGGGTGCAATCTCGGCTCACTGCAACTTCCACCTCCTGGGTTCAAGCAATTCTCCTGCCTCAGGCTCCCAAGTAGCTGGGATTACAGGTTCCTGCCACCATGCCTGGCTAATTTTTGTATTTTTAGTAGAGACAAGGGTTTTACTGTGTTGGCCAAGGTGGTCTTGAATTCCTGACCTCGTAATCTGCCCGCCTCAGCCTCCCAAAGTGCTGGGATTACAAGCATGAGCCACTGCACCTAGCTTTACTTTTTTACTTACTAAATAATTCTCACTATTATTTTCAAATATAAGCCAAAAAAAAAATCTAGAAATAGCCAAAGAAATCTACAAATTGTGCAGAAAAGTAGTTGCGTTTTCCTGTTTACAGTCTACAGGTAATACTTGGTGTAATACTCAGGCCCCAGTGGCTGCCACCCCTCATCACAAATAACTTATTATCAAATCCATCCCAGAAAAGCCAATGTGAGTAATGGGCAGGGTTTGGCACATTCTGACTCCCACGGCACTTCCTCATAGAGAAGAGGAAGGGTCAACTAGCAAGTAGGCTACAAGCTGTGGCAGCAACCCTGTCCCTCCTGGCATACCTCAAGCTTGTTATTCTTTTGTAATGTCTTTTTCCTGCAACATGTTGCCAGATGACTGTTTTTCTGCTGTTTGCTCTCCAGGCTCCCTTGATGAAGGCAGCCACTGTTGTTCAATCAGATTTTACCTGTAAAACAAAATCATGGGGTAATTTTCTAGGCCTCTCATATCCTGCTAGGAATGGCTCTATGTATGGTTTAATGGACAGGCAAGCACATACAATCCAATGAGGTATCAGCGCATATAAGGAATACATATATATACACATACACACACACGTACATATATACATATATATAATACCCATATATGATATGTATTAATAGAACTCATTATTTTAGCATAAAAATGTAAAGATGTGCTAAGGAGATGGAACAATATGGAGGAATGGTAGCCATTCAAAATTATTTGAAGAAGTTTTACCGGTGGAGGAAAACTAGTTATATGCAGATTTTGAAAGGAGGAGAGAAAAAATAAAAAGCACATTCTCACCATGAGAAGTAATCATCAAGTAGTAGTGAATCAGGCTGACTATAGAACATGAGTTTTGGTATGTTTACAATTTATCTGAGGACAATAAATAATCCATGCTTCAAAAAAGAGAACAAAAGTAAAGCAAACAATATAAGACATCCCATAAAATGTACTGCTAAGTTTTGTGTTCTACATGAACTTTTTCTTTCCTACCACCTCCCAGGGGAAAGGACTCCTCTACTGAGGAAGGAAAGAGACCCAGGACAAATGCTGGGCTTCTGCCCTTCTTTGGCTTCCTTATCTGGCTTCTTAGCCCAGGTCAGACCCAGGAAATCCCTACAGGAGATACACGCAGGGCACATCTTTCTAACCTAACACTTCTTTGGAAGTTATCAATGTACTGACTCCCACCTGGAAAAGGGTGAAAGATGAAAGGAAGAAATGTTATAATATCTGCCTATGCTTCTCTCACTCTCCTGCTCCAACCTGTCACCTCTGACGAAGGGAGGGAAAACAGGTAGTGACAACCTTTGGAAGGGGAGGATGGATGCTGACTGGGCTCTGCATTCTGTGAGCAGTGATGTTTGTCCCTGATACCTGGGCTCCCGGGAGGATAGGGATCACTGCAACTTTGGGATAGCTCTTCTCACTCTCCTTGGAAACGACTCCTTTTTTATGATCAGCAGATGTACCTGAGGGCTCACAGAGCTTTAAAACTTTCATCAAGAAGCCTCCCACTACTTGAGGGAAGTTGCCTTTAATCTTCTCATATCACACAAGCATAATCAGACACACTCAGAGATTATGGATCCAAATCCTACGGAAAGCCATTAGCACACTGGTGACCAGAATGGGGAGCTCTGGATACCAGCATATTTAGACACATTTCTTATCTTCCTAGGGCTTCTTGCTACTTCCTCATCTCTGTAGCTAGATTTGGCTTGGAGAGAGAAGGCCACCCAGGTTTTCTGAGTACCTCTCTGTATTAAATCCTTCCATCTTTGTGATCTCACTTAATCCTTACAGCAAGTCTTCAGGGTAGATAATATTATTATCAGCCTTACTTTATCAAGGAAGAAACTACCTTGCCTAAAATCAAACAGCCAATAGGGATTTGAGTCAAGGGCACATCAGTGTGATCCATGCCCCAGACCCCTTCCACCACAGCATGCTGTGAAGACAAAAACTGATGCCAGAACAGAGTTGGCCAAAAGATTGGCATTGCAGATGTCAGGCAGAGCGCTTTGGAAAAGGGATGTCTGGGTAAGTGGGAGTTTGATGAATCAAGCATTCGGCACAGGTCAATTCAGGATTGTGGAGGCAGAACTGGCCCCTGAGCTGAGAGTGTGGCACAGAGTAGAGTGCCCGGCTCCAGCAGGGTCCTAGGAACATTCTGGTGCCCTGTTGAATCACACTGATCCTTCTCTAGCCCAGGGCTCAGGTCTTTGTGCCTTCAGCAAGACAACGAAGCAGGAAAGTTTGACCTTGGTACATCCTTCCACCTGACACGCTACCGTCTCTTTCCCTCTGTTTTCCCCTCCCGTGATTGTTTTAAAGATCCATCCTGAGAAAATCCTTCACCTGTGTGATTTTCATCAACGTTTTATTTTGTTAGACGTACTTAGTCGTTGTTTCTGCTCTTCTCCTAACCTTGGATCTTTTTTGCATCCTTATCATTGCCCCTTTTGCTTTCTGAAATATCCCCCAACTTCTTGCTCTAATTTCCTATCTATTTTTCTCTTCTGAAATACGAAGGAGAACAAAAGAATGGGAGCCATCCTTTGCATCTCCCTGAATGATTCATTATTTGATTTTTTTTCATTACATTCTTTGAATGAGCTTCATAAGATCTATGGTAACTAGATACCCCATTTGTGTCAACTGTTCTTTTGATTTGTTGGCACTGTCTAAATAAGCATTTCAGAGCATCTTCCTTCCCCTGTTTTTGTTTCACAGACCTGGTGGTTGGGTTTCCAGCTAAAGGGAGAAGAAAAGAAAGAAGAGGTTTGCAGAAAGGTCAGACAGGCAGAGAGCAAGCCCTTGTCCAGTCCGCAGGTTACTCAGGCCTTTGTTTTGTTTTTGGTTTGTTTGAGGGGAGGGAGGAATTGGAAAACAATTCACTGTTTTTGTGTACACACACACTTGCACACCCACACGCATTTCAGACTGAGAATATCCGTGTTGGGTAGGCACAAAGTCATATAGACCAGACCATTCATTTCAGTGATGCAGAAACTAAGACCCGGAGAAGCAAAGTAGCTTGTTAAGATCATAAAACCAACCAATGGGTAAACTGGAACTAGAATCCGAGCATCCTGACCCCCCACATTTCGGAATTTTTTCTACTGACCTGTCTAAAGATGGAGCTCTGAATCTTTCTGACTTCCCTTTTAGTGATCATTTTTGGCTCTATTATCCATGAACTTATCTGAAGTCTTCTTGAAGCTATTTCTGTTTTCAGTGTCATGCTCCCAAGCAAGACTCTGAAACCACTGAGATGGAGGAAGATAAGAATGTGAAGGGGTTTATTTTTGTGCATTCTCAGATCCCTGACCTCTTTCCTCCTGAGGGGGTCAGGGGCCTTACAACTTAGGAGAGAGATCTAAAGTGAAGGACTTTGTTTTGGGAGGGGCTTCAGGGCAGGCCCTTTGTTAGCATTTCCCAGGAAATGAACTATCTTCCTCCCACAGGTAGCATTTGGCAGCAGACACGCATCTAAAAGGGACTCTAATCTGACTCTGATCTTGGACGCCTGTCCAGTTCTCACATCGTAACCCTCAGTGAGCTTCGTGTAGAAGAGGCAAGTCAACGGACATTTCAGTCAGAGCCTGGCTTGCTTCCCAATTCTCATTTGCTCATTACTTCCTGGCAGACTTGGGGCCAAACTACCCAACTAGCCCCTAAATATTGTGAGAACAGACAGTAGAAACCAGTCAGTTCCTTCTCCAGGACAAGATCATGAAAGAGTAAGGAACAGAGCCCCAAGGGCCCGGATTCTCAGGCCACCAGAGCAAGCTCTGGCTTTGTTCTGGGAGAGGTTGTCTTTGCCTTAGTCAGCTGCTCAGAACGGAGAGATTTTCAAATGTCTCTTGAAAATCAAAAGTTGGGAAAGGTCTTCTTTTTAATGATCTAGGCCCCCTCCTGTTAATTTCCCAGCAATGTGGCCTTTCATCTTTCCTCGGGTTCAATATAAAAGGGCCCGGATCTGGTGGAGAAATAATAGGAGGAAGGAGATAACCGCAGGACTTGGGGCTGGATTTTTTCCGTTTAAACTAGGAAGATACTAACGGCTTGGAAGATTTGCATAATTAAAGGAGCCTATCGATGCAAAAACTGGGGTGATTGGGGATGAGAAAGGCCACCTAAGGGGTGTTGGGGGGGAAAGAAAGAGAAGAGTGCTACAGTAAAAAGAAATGACAGTGGGTGCCATGGGGAAATGAATCAAACTGTTCTCTTTCTTCTTAAGGAAAATTATCATTTCAACTTTGCTCAGTCTTCTCTGTGACCACTTAGAGGAAGGAAGGCTCCCAATCTGCATTTAAATGGAATGATTTCAGGGAGCACCGAACAGAGAGTAGGCTTTTCACCCCACCCCCTTCAGGAGAAGGCCATGAATGCATTAAAATTGACAGCTGTTCTTTGCAAATGCAAAAGGCTACACTCACCCATTTTCAGTGGCCCTGACAGGCCACAGGCTTCTGTGATTTGGTTTTAGGGATGGAGAAGGTCCTTTGCTCAAAGAAAAGGATCAAATGCTGTCTGGAACTCTACCATTGAATGTAATTGAACTTCTTCCAGGTCGCTTTGATCTGTTTTTAAAATACTGATGTCCCAGGAGAAGAGGCAAAGCTCTCAGCTGTTATCAGTCCTCTACATCGAGGTGTGATTGTGAGCTTTGAGAAGAGGTTTTCATTCCTTTAACAAATACTGTAAAAGCAACAGCTGCCAGGCAGGCATCGTGCTTGGTTCTGGGGAGGCCAGAACAAGGAGAAGTCCTGGCCTAAAGAAGTTCACAGTCAGTGGGTTTTGCTGCTCAGGGAAAGGGAAGGGGCACCAAGTGGAGAAACAGAAAATTTGAGCTCTACGGAAGGATGGAAGGAGCAAAAACAGGAAGCAGAAGAGCACCAAAGATACGCTCTCTTTTTTTTCTTTTTTTTTGAGACAAGGTCTTGCTATGTGGCCCAGGCCGGTCTCAAAGCTCTGGGTTCAAGCAATCCTCCCACCTTGGCCTCCCCAAAGTGCTGATATTAAAGGCATAAGCCACCACACCTAGCTGGAAGTTACACTTCTATGACATTTCTGTGCTTTTCCATTTGTGTCGCAAACTGGCCCCATTTCTGACAGATGGCTCCCTGTTTGACTTCCGAGGATATAAAGCACCTCTGTCCTTATCCCTGCTGTCACTTGAGATAGAGAAAGGCAGAAGGGGAAAGAAACTGTTAACATACACCAGGATTTTTTTCCCCTAAATTTCTTACACTCCCACCCCTCAGGGCTGCTTTGCTGCTAAAAGCAGAGTCTTGTCCTTTTAGGAAAATCTCCCCTCCATTTTGCTTGGTCAGCATTAGAAGGACTGAGGACTGTGCCTTTTCATTAAAATTATTTCTATTTCTGACAGGCCCCTAGGTGGGTCACAGGACAGGCGCCTCTGTC